CCTACAACCTTTCCCCCCCACTTCTTCTCTGCACTCCCTTGCTCTGTGCATCCCTTCACACATGATCTCCTTGCCACCACTTCCCCGTGCTCCCCACCACACTGTGCGGTGGAAAGAGCATGCGCTGCAGAGGGGAACACAAGGAAGGAGTGCACAGTTTGGGGAGAGCATAGGCAAAGGGAAAGGGGCATGTGGAGAGTGGGGAGCACAGGGAAGGGGGAGTCACGCAGTGCAGGGGGGAATGGGGGGAAAGGGCACATTCACCTCACTCTGCGTCCCTTCCCCCATGCTGTTTCCCTGTTCTCCACATGTCCCTTTCCCTGTGTCCCCTTGCTCTGCGCATCCTTCCCCCACCACCCTTGCTGTGCCCTTTGTCTCATGCTCTCCCCCATACCATGCATCCTTTCTCCATGCTCTTCCATGCACACCTTACTTGCCACATGAGACACCCTGATCCTGTCCAGAGCTGCAGCATCTGCATGCCTGGCCCAAGCTTGATTGTAAGACAAAAGGTTTTTCACCACCATGTTGAATGGCAGGCTATGGGGAAGGGGGCTCATCTTATATTTGAGTAAATATGGTAATTTCTTCAGGACTGCATGTGGTCTACAGCCTACCAGCTGGACAGCCCTGACTTATTTTGTCACCACAAAATACCCTTTACAGAAATATAAGACTTGAGGGTTAGGATTGAACTACTTAAATCAGGATATGCAAAATGAAGGTTCTTGCAATGACCTTAACACGGCCTCCTTGTACTTTACAGAACAGCCAGGTGTTCAGTGCCACAGCGACTCCCAAACTCTTATTTGTGGAGAGCCTACATGGGCATGTGGGACTTCATCCTGCAAGGTGCTGAGGTTCATGGCACTCAATTGTGGATACAGTAAAGCACTTCTGAATATTGCTGGATGAGGGCAGAGTGCTGGGCACTTGCTGTCTCTGGATCTGGCTCTTTCCTGCCTCCCTTCATTAAGAAGGGAAAACTCAGAGCTAGTCAGAGAAATGTGCAGAATCGTATTTCTTTGGGATCTGCAGTTCCACTGAAATCTGTAGCTGTGCTGGAGTGCATAGGTGGCAGAAGGCTGGGGCCTGGGGGCGCTTCGCCCCCCCCAAATTATTTTTGTGGTGGCTGTGACAGCAGCAGCACCATGGAGCTGATCTGTGTGCAGACAGGCCAGCACCCTACGTGCACTCAGCTCCATGAGGCTGAGGAGAAGAAGGCTAACTGCTCATGTATCGCACCTTGCAGAGCCCAACGGGCGTTGTAGTTCTCGTTCCGACATATGCACTCAGCATCCCCCCACAATAAGATTTTCTCGCTCTGTCTATGCTGGCTCGTACTTTAGGAAGAAAACCTGGGGAAGCAGTGACCACACTGCAGTGTCCCATAATGACATTTTCAAAATGAAGCACTTGGGTTTTTCATTTTGAAATAACTTTTCACTATAAGTGTTTACTTTACCTAATATAGTCAAAATTAAAATGCTCTGGGCTGAAATGGGACCTTTTAAATATTCCATTGTGAAGAGCTTCAATATTTTCAGAGAACTAAGTTGGGAGACAAGAAACCCTGAGTAGGTTTTGTCAACATCCCACTTCCTGTTGAAATATTTTTTCCAAAGAAAAATTCGAAAGAAAACCAGCCCCAATTAGCACCCAGATATCGCAGAAGCTGGGAAACAAACATAGAAAAGAGAGAGGCTCTGTCTCTTCTGTTCAAGGTCCCTAAAACTGTGGGCTGGCCTAATATGTGCTGGTTTAAAAATAGGCTTATTTGAATATACATCATTAAAGAATTGGATTTATCATCAATTTAAGAATCTTACTGGCATAGGGGTGGGGGAGCAGTTTATGCAGATCGCTTGTGGTTATCCACATTATGGGAATTAAAGTAGGGTTTTTTCTCGTTCCTAGTTATATACGTAGGATTAATTTAAATTGTTGCTCTTTGCTTTGGATAACTTCCTAGTAGAATCAGTCTTTTTTTTTTCTTTATTGAAAGACAAAAAGGCATGTTTGACCAAAGTGAAAATGAGAGATGTTTTCTGTGAAACAAGCTCAGCAAAAATGGAAGCGAGTTTGAAGCGATATTCCTCACTTTTAAAGGCATGGTGGCTTCCTTGCTTTTTTCAACCTCCAGCTCATATTTGTGGATTCTCCACCCTGTGTCCTGGAAGTGTCATGCTGATACATTTTGGAAGTGATGGGGAGAACAACTTCCGAAGGTTCAAGGCCACATTCACCTTTGTTCCTTCAAACTGGTAGAAAGATACTAATGAGTAGCAAAGTAGCAATGTCTATACCATCCTCACTTTCTGAATGCCTGTTCATTATATCAGGGCAGCACAAGATGAAATTGTTTCTACTAAAAAAAATTCAGTTGAGATGTTTTAGCACTGGAAATGAATCAACAGTACCACATGCTGAGAACACTGATCGTACAATGACATTTTTGTTACCTGAACTAATAGGCTTGCTGACTCTTCAGCACTCTGAAATGCTTCTAGAAGCATTCCAGTCAGGGAATGATATCCTATTACAGAAGTGCACTGGAATTAAATTATTCAACAGACTGATGCTTGCAATTGTTTACTGCCATTAGTGTTATGCTATCTGCTAAAATAAAGGATCTAGTCTTTATTGGAAGGAAGAACACTGTTTGATTCTTGTGGGGGTGGGATGTTTTGTGAGTAAGTAAATGTAACATTTGTCTTCTGTAGAAGAAGCTGAAATGGAAGGTGCAAAACCAGTGCTTATGGAAATGTCCAATCCAAAGGATACCCCCCTAGGTAAGCTGGGCATGAATACATTGCCTTGTGTTCACGGGTGGATCCTTTAATTTTTCCCAAAAGGTCTTTACAATATGTTTCAGCTCTGGAGCACATGCACACAAGATATGTGTGTATTTTATTTACTTATTTATTCACTTATAAATAAATAAATAAATGTCTTGTGTGCATTTCATATACATGTTGAGTGTATATACATGAGAGAGAGAGAAAAGGTATAAAGCTCTTACACTTGGGGGACAACCTTCCTCTCTGCTTCTTCGCCTATTGTATGCAGTGCCACATTATCCCTCTAGTTTAAAACTTTTCTAATATGGATGGGGGAAGAAGACCAGAAACTAAGATAAACATTTATAGCATGAGAGTTGAATGTTAACATCAGTGTCTGAGCCATATTTGTTCTTTGAGGTGTAATAGTCTCTTCAGAAGTCAGATTCCCAGCTGTCTGCACCATGCTTGTGTTTCTCTTAATCAAAATAAAACTTGTCACCTACCCTGGCAAATAAAATCTGTTCCCCTGCATCTTTTTAGAAACTCTACTTTGTGCTCTGTTTTCATCCATCCTCTTAGGCTGTCTTGCAAACTGAGAGACCATCTTACAAGTTATTCTGTAGCTTTTTGTTCTGGTTGTTTTGCAGAGATCTGCAGCCTTCCTCCATTTGGTCCCCAGTGGCAATCCAGATGCATTCTCAGGGGAGAATCATAGACAATTAGGGTCCCTGAGTCCCTGAGTGAATCGTGAGTGATTGATTGGTAACTGGGAACATAGCAGCTTAGCAGCCAGACCTGCAGCAGTGTCTCCCCTCCCCGCCCCAAGACAGCAGAATGGCAGAAGGTTCCCTCCAGAGCCAGGGCTGCTCCCAGTGGTGCAGTACCAGCTCCCCCAGTCCAGCTGGGGAACAGGTATGAGGCCCTGGCAACATTGGAGGCAGAGGAAGGTGAGGAGGAAGCCTCTGGTGTGGAGGTCACTCCACGCACAGAACTGGCTGAAGGAGGCAAGTTGACTCGGAAGAAGAGACGCCAGGTACTCATCATAGGTGACTTCATCCTGAGAGGAACAGAGGGTCCCATCTGTTGCCAGGATCCCATGACACACGAGGTCTACTGTCTGCCCGGAGCGCAGATTCAGAACGTGATGGAGATGATCCCAGCCCTCATACGGCCCACTGATTACTACCCCATGGTCCTAATCCATGTGAACTCTAATGTTGCGGCCGGGAGCAGTCCAGATCACCTGATGAAGGACTACCAAGCTCCGGGGGGCAAGCTGAAGGAGATAGGGGCACAGGTGGTCTTCTCATCAGTCCTTCCAGTGAGCGGACGTGGAAGATGCCATGAGACCTGCATCTGGAATGTCAGCTTGCAGCTTCGGGAATGGTGTCTCGCAGGCTTCGGCTTTCTGGACCATGACCCATACTTTAGGCCAAGAGACATACTTGGGCGGGATGGACTTCACCTCTCCCCCAAAGGAAAGTGTGTATTCTCTTTCAGGTTGGCAGATCTCCTCTGGCGGGCTTTAAACTAGGCTTGTTGAGGGAAGGGGAGGAGGAGGACCAATGGAGCCACAGAACACCAAACCAAGAGCAGCTCAGCCAAGACAGGCGATGAGCACAAGAAATACCCAGGTAAGAGACAGGGGCCCGGATAGTCCTGGGATTGGGGGGAAGGCACATACACCCTCAGGAGGTCTTAAATGCCTCTACACTAATGCTCGTAGAGAACAAGCAGAAGGAACTTGCCCTCCTGCTAGCTAACACAAACCCAGACATAGTGGGGCTCACTGAAACTTGGCGGGATCCAACGCACAACTGGGTGGTAAACATCAAGGGCTATAGGCAGGATAGAACAGGGAGGAAAGGTGGGGGTGTGGTGCTCCACATAAAAGAGCAATACACATCCTCAGCAAACAGCACTGGGTCGGAGGTAGGGCAGACTGAGGTGCTCTGGGTCAGAATACAAGGGGGTCAAGGGGAAAGGGACCTAACAGTGGGGGTCTACTACAGGCCACCTAACCAGGGGGAAGAGCTGGACCGGGAATTCTCAGGTCAGCTTGCAGAGGCAGTTAAGTCAAGGGATGTAGTCATCATGGGTGACCAAAACTACCTGGACATCTGCTGGGAAGAGCAGTCAGCCAGGTTTGACTGCTCACGTAGGTTCCTAGCTGAGTTACAGGACCTCTACCTAACCCAGGAGATGCACAGTCCCACCAGGGCGCCACACCGCACTTCAGGAGGGATGTGGATAGAATCAAGAGGGTCCAGAGGAGGGCCACTTGCATGATCAGGGGGCAGCAGGGCAGGCCCTATGAGGAGAGGCTATGGGACCTGAACCCGTTCAGCCTCCACAAATGAAGGCTGAGAGGGGATCTGGTGGCCACCTATAAACTTGCCAAGGGAGACCAGCAGGCAATGGGAGAGTCCCTGTTCCCCCGAGCACTACCGGGAGTAACAAGGAACAACAGCCATAAGTTGACCGAGAGTAGATTCAGGCTAGACATCAGGAGGCGCTACTTCACAGTCAGGGCGGCTAGGGTCTGGAACCAACTTCCAAGGGAAGTGGTACTCATTCCTACCCTGGGGATCTTCAAAAGGAGGCTAGACAACCACCTAGCCGGGGTCGTTTGACCCCAGCATCCTTTCCTGCCCATGGCAGGGGGTCAGACTTGATGATCTGCTTAGGTCCCTTCTGACCCTACCAACTATGAAACTATGAAACAATTTCCCACCAATTCTTCTCTGTTTGTGAGCAGCAGGTCAAGAAGAGCATGGCTCCTACTTGGCCTCTCCAGCACTTGCACTAGGAAGTTGCCCCCAACTCTCTCCAAAAACTTTCTGGATCACCTGTGCACTGCTGTATTGCCCTCCCAGCAGATGTCAGGGTGACTGAAGTCCCCCATGAGAACCAGGGCCTGTGATCGGGAAATTTCTGCTAGCTGTTGGAAGAAAACCTCATCCACCACTTCTTGATCTGGTGGTCTATAGCAGACACCCCCTGTGACATCACCCTTGTTGCTGTCCCCTCTGACCCTAACCCAGAGACTCTCAACAGGCCTATTTCCAACTTCATACTACAGCTCTGAGCAAACATACAGCTCTTTTACAAACAGGGCAACTCTTCCTCCTCTTCTCCCTCGCCTGTCCTTCCTGAACATTTTGTGGCCATCCATGACAGTGCTCCAGTCATGTGAGCTCCCACCAAGTCTCCCTTATTCCAATCATGTCATAGTTTTGTGACTGCGCAAGGACTTCCAGTTCTTCCTGCTTGTCTCCCAGACTCCATGAATTTGTGTATGGGCACCTGAGGTAACTACTTGATTGCCTTGATTTCTCTGGAAGTATGAGAGCACCTCCCCTGTTGCCCCCTCCTGCTTGCTCTTCCTCCAAGTCTCCCACTTCCCTCAGAGCTTTGGTCTCCATCCCCTGGCAAACCTAGTTTAAAGCTCTCCTCAGAACATTAGCGAGCCTGTCTGCAAAGATGCTCTTCCCTCTCTTCATCAGGTGGATCCCATCTCTTCCCAGAGAAGAACCATGTCCTCACTGCTGGCCTTGGCAGAGGGGCTTGTAGTTTTTAGGTAATTACCAGTGTGGACATCAGTCCAACATTGATTTTTACAGTGCCCCGCAGTGTACATTTGGGAGTACATCTGGTTGCCAATGTACCCTAAAGCTTCTATGGGAACCAGTACTCCTGTCTGCACAGTGCTTTCCCTCCTCTTTTGGGATAGAAGAATGAAGTGAGAAGGAACCACGTCCCCACTTTCACTCTGCTTTGTTGTTTTTTTCCAATGCTGACATAGAAAGCCCTTCTGGAAAATGCTGGGTTGCTTATTTTTCACAATAGCCTCCCTCCCCTCATCTCTTGAACAAAGCTAAAATTAAATGGGTCTTGCGCTAAGTCCACTGAAGTCAGCTGCAGGGGAACAGCTAACTTGGTTCTGCCTTCTGAGCAAAACACTGCCAGACAGTGCATGTGCAAGGGGTGAAGGGGGGTTGTCAGGGTGGTCAATCTTACCTGTCCCAGGGACTCAGAGACCCTGGCTGTTGCTCTGTGTTGCTGTCTGCCTGCGCCTGGTTGCTACTGCCACAGCAGTATGGTGTTTCCCCCACACACGGCTGCTACTGCTACAACAAAGACTCCTGAGGGAGGCCATCATTTCAATGTGTCCTTTAAGTCAGTGTCCAGGGCTCATACTTTCCTCACCACCCGTAGTTACACTGCATTTCAACAGCTTCCTCTTAGAAGAGACATGGCAGTGGCAAAGATCTTACTTGCCAGCCTAGGGTGAAGATGGATAAGTAATTAAAATGGCTAAAGAGAAACCAACAGATACTGCATGAATACTGACTAAGGAAGATAAGAGGCTGGTGATGGACAGCTCCAATGCATTTTATTTCCATTTTACAGAAGAAAGAGATCACTACATTGGACTGCCATGTCTCACTGGAGACCATGATAGAGCTTTGACAGTCATCAGAACAGGTAGAGAATAAGCAAAGCAATGGTGGCTGTTGTATTTCTCCCTTAATCACTTCCTTAATCACTAAATTAAAAAATCCAATTCTTATAAGAAGGTCAAAATAGCCAGCAAATGACAAATGCTCAAGATGGAAAGGATAAATGCAGAGGATTTAAAATAATATCACAGTCTGGCATGTCTAACCAAGAGCCCATTGCGGAGATGCAATTTTTTTGTTATGGCTGCCTGTCATTCCTATCAGGTTTTTGTCTCTAGTGGGTTATGGAATAGAGAAAATCCCACACAATTTACTGATTCGTTTTGATGCACTGGCTGGGGGAGTAGTTAGCTGGTTGCACGATTTCACAACGATTACACACTTAATTTATACAACACAATTTTATTTTAAAACTCTTTGCTACGTATATAACACTGCTTAGCTTTAAGAAACACCACAAACATTAAAAACACAATAGTTACATATATCAGAAACAATGCTCCGAATGCACTTCCTTCCCAAACAATGCTATAAGAATTAGTGTTACAAAAACAACTACAATTACAACTAAAAGTTAAATTTGAATCAATACTGTTATTTTTCATAATATACTTACAATCCTAGAATTCCGAGAAGCCAAATACCAAAATATGGTTTCATTCCTCAGTAGTACGATTTAATGGGTTGGCCTCAGTAGTACGGTTCAATAGGCTGGCCTCAGCAATACAATTCAATGAGCTGGGCTTACCAGTGATAGGACTACGTCCCCTTCCTTCAGTCCCTTTCGGGCGCTCCGCGGCTTCAGCGTGAACTAAGGGATTCGTGTTCACGGAGAGGCTTGATTAGGCGATCAATCTAATCCGACCTTATACTTGCGATTCTTCCTTCGTTGTTCTGCAAGTGAAGTCACCTCCAAATTGGGACAGTAAGTTACAGGTTTTTATTGAGTGAGCTGCCGTCATTGGGCTCCTCCTACTCAATTCATCATACCTCCCAAATTTGGGCTCGGATCTTACTCAACAGAAATTACGTTTGTTGAGCATTTTAAATTATTCTTGGGGAGACTTCCATATCACTGTAAATACTCTTTTCTTAGCAATTTGGTTAAAAGGCCTTAGGCTTTGATGTCTCGGAATTTAGGACATTTGTTTTCTTTGTAAAAAACTTCTAAAGGTACAATTTAGATTAAGGTTTTAGGCGAAGTCAGGACATTTCGCACGTAGCTCCAAAACAATGAGCTAGATAAGGAGATAGATTCTATCTTCTTCCTGAAACTGGCTAATGGGCAACCTTTACAAACATTCAAACTATTTCATTCAATATGACAGTTTTATTCATTTTAAAAATGCCTACCAGATGGTGAAATGTAAGCTTTAGTGTGTTGCTGTCTTTGAACTAAGCAAGACATCTATCCATAGGAAACTTTGAATGATATCTTTCTGTGCAAAAAAAAAAAAAAAAAATTATAAGTAGAGAATGATAAAAGCAGAGATGGCTCGTGTTGGTCATCCTCAATTTTCTTGTCTTGGATTTGTGAAATGAACCTCAGTCCTGTTTTTATATGTCCATGGAGTCTTAAAACAACTTATCCCATCTCTTGGCTCATCTATAATAAAACTGGAAGCAGATTCACTATATCTGGGGGGAGAGAAACTTCCTTGTGATCTACATCTGCCCTGACTCTGTCCTATTGCATAGTAGGCGGGAGAAAATATATTTCCAAAATCTATTTCAGAAAAATAGACCGACCCTAAAGGAAGCTACATTAGTGGGTTGTTGTTTCATCCTGTTGGTACAGGTGAGAAAAGTTAAAAACCATTGTGATGCATCCCAACTTTGATGTAGTGAGTTATGACTGATATTGTACTGATCCAGCTGGACGTCCCTTTGGAATACAGTGGTGTTGTGAGGCCAATACATTTGCCCAGTGGCACAGAGCCACAGTCTCCCCCTGCTCTTTACACTGTGACTGTATTGGGGGAACACCCAAGGTAGGTGGTGTGTTTTCTTCTTCATGGGGAAAATAAGATGGACATGGACTGTGGAGTGATTCTGTCCCTATGTTGCAGGCTTTAATAAAAGGGGGTGCTTATCACTACATGGGATGGGAGGTGAGTGGAAGGACCTACAGGCCTATTGTAGAAACTTTCCACAATCGCTGAGTTAGCAACCATGCTTCCTGCATGTTGCTTATGGTTGGCTTACAATTGTTCAGGTGTAATTTGGATACTGTCTTACAGGTTGGCAGACCTAGCAATTATCCTTAATTAAAACTCCCATGCTTTGCCTTAAGTGTGTTCTCTGCCTGTCTCTTTGATTCCTAGATCATGGAAAAAGCAGTGTCAAGGAAGACACAAAAAGCCTTGCAAAAACCACCAAAGGGTTAAGGATGAGGATAATGAGAAGAAGTTTGTTATTGCTTTGTTTTGTTTTGTCTTAATAAACTTAGAAGAGAGAAAATGGTCACTTTCTAGCACAGGCTGCATTTAAGAGTAGTTGTCATACCAAGCCCAATGTATTGTTGTTACTCCCTTTACCAAGTGACCCTCCACAGTCCAACACAGTGGTGTACCAGTGCAGGCAATGAGAGGGAGTGCATTGTAAATGGAAAGTTTGGACGACTTGGAGTCAAGTCTAAGTGGTCTTGTCAGAACAGAATTGGTGCTGTTAGCTTGAGAATGTGGGAAAATGTATAACTTCTACTGACTTTTTCAATTGTTTTTTGTCCACAGTCTGTTATAGCAAGTTTAGCCCTGCAAATTTACAGTGTAATAAGCAATCCTCTGCCAATTTTTCTCTCAAACAGATGGGAACTTTGCTATGAGGCTACAGCAGACATGAGTGCCTATACTTAAGAATGTAGTCTGCAAGAGAAGTTGTTATTTTAACCATCCTGGAGGGATCACAGCGATTATGCTCTGTGTTGGGTTTCCTTCCTCTGAAGGTCAGGATTCCTGCCAGGTGCATTGCTTCTCATAACAAATGTCATTGAAAGTATCCAGGGTACTACGATTCCATTTGGGGAAATGGAAGAACCAGTGCCAGATTATAACTTACTGAGGCCCTAAACTATGTCCAGTTTAATAGGACCCATATGATAAAAATAATCTATGAAATCCACAAAAATGGATTTTCATGAAATTTTAAGATGAATTATTGTTATTCCTGCACAAATTTATGAACTCAATATTAATAACAACTATGGAGCCATATATATATATTTGTTGTTGTTGTTGTCATATTAGAATGAAAATGTCCTGGTTTTTTTTTCTTATTTAGAGGCCCCTCATATTGTGAGGCCCTAAGCTGTAGCTTAAGTAGCTTAAACCTAAATCCAGCACTGAGAAGAATCCTGTGTATGCCAAGTCATGTCTAAAATGCAGCTCACCCTAATAGTAGCCTGCAGCTTGAATGGTCAATGCCTGTAGCATCAAAAGGAAGATAAAAGCACTTTGCCCAAACTAGAAGTTCATGTAAAAACATGATGCTAAAGTTTTTTAACCACAAGAGCTTAGTGATGAAAAATCTATGGGTGTAAATGGATTGTAAACAGTAAATGGGATCAGACTGGCTTAAGTCTGAGTGATGAGATGATCTCTTACACTTCCTGAATCCTTTCCTTTATTCTGGAGAAATATTCTAGCTCTCTACTATGCTAGAGTATTGGATAAATGCTCTAATAACCCTTCTTGGGACTAGTGACAGTATTTAAGTACATTAAGTATAATGACTTCTTGTAACAATACTTGATATTTTTATACAGCTTCATCTGTTCAAATCACAAATCAATCCTCATAACACCCCTCTGCGATAGATGAACACTATCCCTATTTTACTAATAAGGAAATGGAAGCGGAAAGGTGAAATATTTTTTGTCAGGGACAGAGTCAGGTTAGAACTGTGGTTCACTCCTAATATTAACCTTTCATAAAAACTTATAATGCACTTTATAATGGGATTAATGCATGATTAACCAAGAGGTCAATGGTCAGTAGTTGCTTATGGATGGTAATAACGATGTTTACATATACACTGCAGAATTTAAACTACTGATTCCTATAACATGTTATAATCTCTAATCCAGGGGTGGGCAAAATACAGCTCACAGGCCAGATTTGGCCTGCCAGGCCATTCCGTCCAGCCTGGGAGGCCCCTAAAAAAATTAGTAAGTTAATATTTGTTTGCTTCTGCCTGCCTGTCAAAGATGACAGGAGCCAGGGGCAGTAGGACCCAGGGGGAGCCTCAGCAGGACTGAACAGCCCAGCCCCACCCCACCCCACCGCACCCCCCAGCCATTTTCTTGCCTTCCTGCCCCCGTACTGCTCCAGCACCACATGGCTCCTAGATGCATTGTCAGACCAGGGAGCATGGGGTGCTGGTACCCCAGGCGTGTGTGTGTGCATGTGCACGTTTGTGTGTGTAGGGAGGGGCTGAGTGTGTGTGTGTATCTGTAGGGCAAGTCCCACATGCACACCCCACCATATACATGCAGCCACACACCGCCTCGCTGCCATACACACAGACACTCACACCCCTAACCACACCCCAGGCACCCTCCGCCCCACACAACCCCCCACAAACCCCATATACACCCACACCTCACATATCCACACACACACCCACATGATCCCTCACCCCACATCCACTCCTATCCACCCCCACAAGCACACCCACACCCTCAGCCCACTAGGCCAAGGCATTTAAGGCAGCCCACCCCTGCCCCAGCCCTGGCACAATCTGTGGGCAAAGCAAGAGCCCCCAAGGGGACACTTGCCTGCCTCTGCACAAATGCCAGGAGCTTGGGGAATAAGCAGAAGGAACTCGTCCTCCTGCTTAACACAAATAATTACGATGTCATAGGGATAACGGAGACCTGGTGAGACTCCACCCATGACCAGACCACAGGTATAGATGGCTATACCCTGTACAGGAGAGATCAAGTAGATAAAAGGGGTGGGGTTGTAGCTCTCTATGTTAAGGAAAGCTACGCATCCCTGCAAGCTGACGTTGGCAACCAGGGTGGACAACTGGAGACCCTCTGGGTTAAAACCCATGGGGAACACAGCACAGGGGACACAATGGTGGGAGTCTACTACAGACCTCCCACCCGAAGTTAAGAGTTTGACCAGGAGTTTGCCCGGGAACTGGCTGAGGCAGCATGCTCCAGGACCATGTTTGTCATGGGTGACTTCAACTACCCAGACATCTCATGGGAGGATCACTCAGCAAAATCCGAGCGGTCACAAAGCTTCCTATCGTGCGTGGATGACCTCTACCTGACTCAAGAAGTCTACGGGCCAACAAGAGGTAAAGCGCTGCTTGACCTGGTACTGGCAACTGGAGATGACCTAATCGGTGACCTAGTGATTGATGGGAAGCTGGGTGACAGCGATCACAAGCTGATCACCTTCACCGTCCTCCATAAATCTGGCAAGTCAGTCAGCAACTCCGAAGTCCTTGACTTCAAGAAAGCTGACTTTGACAAGCTCAGGAGGCTTGTCAGTGAGGCCCTAAGGGACCATGACCCCAGGGGGAGGGAAGTCCAGGAAAAGTGGTTGCTCCTCAAGGGAGCGATCCTCAATGCACAAGTTAATTCTATTCCATCTCGGGGGAAAGGCAGCAAGAAGGCACAGCAGCTCCCCAGGCTCTCCAGGGATCTAGCAGACCTCCTGAGGCTAAAAAGAAAGGCCTACAAATGATGGAGGATGGGATTCACCTCCAAGGAGAAATACCCAGGAAAAAGCCAACCTATTAAATGGGTACTTTGCATCGGTCTTTCATCAGTCCCATGGGACGCCCATGCCCCCTATGAGACAGGGAGGTCTGGGTGAGGAAGATTCCCTGCCCTCCATCAATGCTGACCTCATGAAGGAACACCTTGAGAGGCTGAATACCTTTAAGTCAGCTGGCCCTGACAATCTACACCCCAGGGTACTCAAGGAGCTGATGAGCATCATAGCCCAGCCCCTGGCACGGATCTTTGAAAACTCCTGGCACTCTGGTGAAGTGCCTGAAGACTGGAAGAAGGCCAATATGGTGCCTATCTTCAAGAAAGGGAGGAAAGTGGATCCGGCAAACTACAGGCCCATCAGCCTGACCTTTATCCCAGGGAAGGTCTTAGAAAAGTTTATTAAAGAGGCCATCTTTGATGGACTGGCTGACGCCAACATCCTAAGGGATAGCCAGAATGGGTTTGTTGCGGGTAGGTCTTGCTTGGCCAATCTCATTTCCTTTTATGACCAGGTGACCTATCACCCGGACAAGGGAGAAGAGATTGATGTCATATATCTTGACTTCAAAAAAGCCGTCCATCTGGTATCCCATGATCACCTCTTGGCGAAACTGGCCAACTTTGGCCTTGGGTCCACCATGATCCGCTGGCTGGGAAATTGGCTCCATGGTCGGACCCAGAGGGTGGTAATTGGTGGAAGTCAATTGTCATAGTGCCCTGTGACCAGTGGCATCCCCCAAGGCTCTGTCCTTGGACCTGTATTGTTCAACATCTTCATTAATGATGTGGACGTTGGAGTTCAAAGCGGACTGGCCAAGTTCACCAATGACACCAAATTCTGGGGCAAAGCATCCACGCCTGAAGACAGTAGGGTGATCCAGGCTGACCTGGACAGGCTCAGCAAATACGTGAATGAGAACCTGATGGTGTTTAACACTGAAAAATGCAAGGTTCTCCACCTTAGGGGGGAAAAACCTGCAGCAGTCTTATAGGCTTGGCAGTGCTACGCTGACTAGCACTACGGAAGAAAGAGACTTAGGGGTCATCATTGACCACAAGATGAACATAAGCCTTCAGTGCGATGCTGTAGCTAGTAAAGTGACCAAAACGCTGGCTTGCATCCATAGATGCTTCTCAAGCAAATCCCACAACATCATTCTCCCCTTGTACTTGGCCTTGGTGAGGCCACAGCTGGAGTACTGCATCCAGTTTTGGGCTCCACAATTCAAAAAGGATGTGGAAAAGCTTGAGAGAGTCCAGAGAAGAGCCACGCACATGATCAGAGGTCAGGAAAACAGACCTTATGATGACAGGCTGAGAGCTATGGGGCTCTTTAGCTTGGAAAAGCGCAGGCTCAGGGGTGATCTGATGGCCACCTATAAGTTTATCAGGGGTGACCACCAGTATCTGGGGGAATATTTGTTCACCAGAGCACCCCAAGGGATGACAAGGTCCAACAGTTATAAACTCCAGCAAGACCGTTTTAGGCTGGACATAAGGAAGAATTTCTTTACTGTCTGAGCCCCCAAGGTCTGGAATAGGCTGCCATCGGAGGTGATTCAAGCACCTACATTGAACAACTTCAGGAGAAATTTGGATGCTTATCTTGCTGGGATCCTATGACCCCAGCTGACTTCCTGCCCCTTGGGCAGGGGGTTGGACTTGATGTTCTTCCGAGGTCCCTTCCAGCCATAATGTCTATGAAAACTATGAAACATCCTGATCCCACCATCATAAATTTAAAGGGCCAAGGCACCAAAGTGTACACGATACCAACACCGGTGGTCCAGAAAAAGGTCCCTTCCAGCCATAATGTCTATGAAAACTATGAAACATCCTGATCCCACCATCATAAATTTAAAGGGCCAAGGCACCAAAGTGTACACGATACCAACACCGGTGGTCCAGAAAACAACATCTATGGTTGGCGTTAGGCGGGGTGTAGGGGAGGTGGAGCCCCAAGCGGGAAGAACAACAGGGATGACCGAGGGAAGGCACCAGGAGAGACGGGACAAACCATCTTCCTCCTAATTAAAGTAATTTCCAACAAAGACGTGGCAAGAGAGGCGCCCTGGGAAGCCAACCAGAGTCCAACTCACTAACAAGCTTGTTTCTTCCCTAAAGCAACAGCGAAGTCAGAAAAGACTCCATGGACTCATCGCACAAGTGAATGGCACAGGAGGTTACAGTCCACTACACAAACACATGTAAATCAGGACAAAAATATTTTTTTGAAATCAGTTAATTAATATTGTAGATGTTTGCTTTTTAGAATATAATTTGGTATTTTTTTGATTCCTTGATGGCAAAACGCCTTGCTGTAAGGAGTCTTTCTGGGGGCAAGGGGAGGGAATTCTGGTGGCAAAGGTCAGGGGTTAGGGGGCAGGACTTCTGGTCTCAAGATGGTGACCAGGGGGCGAGGCACTGGTCAAGGGGCAAGGCTACCCATGTGGCCCTCGACAGCTTGTCAAAACTCGGTAAGCGGCCCTCTACTTGAAATAATTTCCTGCCCCTGTTTTAATCCCTTATGAACAAACCATAAATGAAACCAATAAGACACAAAATGTGGCATCTCTTTAGACCTCCTGCTTCCTAATCCTACAATTGTTCTTCCAGCCCACATTGCCTTACTGATGATATGATTCTTCACATTAGTCATCCCAAACACACCTGCAGCCAAGAAACCAGGAGCAGTAGTTGACACTTGACCATTCTCACCTCAAGTTATTTTTTCCTTTAGCAAATGGGATCGATAACTGCTCTTCACTTCTGTGGCTGAGCATAGCAGACAAATGAATGTAAGAGTTCTGTAAAAGGTCCATTAGTTCCCACTTTTGTTTTTAAGGGGAATTCTGGTAGCCCCTTGGCTTGCCATAAAGAACAGGGTCCATTTATTCTTTATGGCATCATCAGCTGGGGTGTTGGTTGTGCCAGGCCTACGAATCCAGGGGTCTACACCAGAGTGAGTGTCATCTTGGATTGGATTGTATCTACGATAAAAGGTAACATTTCTGCTCTTACGCAAAGTATGTTCTAAATTACAGTTCATCAGATGTAGTCAAATGTTTTAGTTTAGCCCATAGAAAAATACCATCTTCTGCAGGAAAAACTGAGAAAATGCTTAAGCATTTTCACTGAAATTTCCTTTTTAAATTTGTTTTTCAAAAAAAGGGGGGGGTGCTAAGTGCTCTTATTAACTTTTTATAATTTATATTCAATTTAGAAGTAAAAAACCCTTACTTTTCACACATTTCCCCCCTCAATGAAAAGCCCTTTTTGTCAAATTTTCACTTTTGGTACACACAGATCTAGAGATGATGTTATGGTGTGAAGTATTTTGTGTTAGTACAACTCAGCACCATCCTCTGGATAAATGCATTTTGAACACTCTGGGGAACAAGAACTGTAGAGACAATAATTAATAATACATATTACTGGACATTGATGGAGAACTAAAATACCCCACTAAGAGTGTTTTTCTCTCTCAAAAGGAGACGTGCTAACTCTTACATTGCCATAAGAGTCTTTCCTTGTACAGTGAGTATGTGCTGTAGGCTGCCCCTGTTTCTCTACCTCTCTTCCTATCAAATCTTTTTTTTCAATATTTCTCAGGAGTTCCAGTGTTGTCACATCATATGTCTGTATGAATCACTAATTACCGCCCCCCCCCAGTTTAAGCAGCTGACTTAAAAAACCCAAACATGTTTAAGCAGTTGGTTCCCCCCAAAAAAGTTTTCCTTTAAACTTGAAATCAGTAGTTGCTTCAGTAAGAAAAGAAAATCTCCACTTTTTTTGTGTCAAAGGCAGCACTTGTTCTTATACATTTAAAAACTGAAGCTAAATGATTTTTCCCACCTGGGCTGGGGCCCTTTTCATTTTTTCCCCTGGGTCCCCTCTGCAGAGGGGCAGGGGAATGCTGGAAAGCTGGAAACCTTGCAGGAGCCTGAGGCCAGATGGTACAGAGTATCAGGGTTTTGAGTCAAGTAGCCGTGTGGGGTTTGGACTGGGAACCCCAGGCAGGAGCTTGCCCCCACAGCCACTCAGGCAGGAGCAGAGATCTGCGCTCCCCAGCACCTCTGCACACTTGCATCAACTCACTGAAGGACCCTTTGCAACGCAGAGGGAACTAGCACCCCCAGCAGACAGCGACCATGAGGGAGATGATGCACCCACATTCCCAGGGACTAACCTCTTTTGGGTTGAGACTCCCTGTGGTAGGGCACTGTTTGTGCCTGCCACTTTAAGGGCCAGAAGGCAGCAGCTGGCAGGTGCCTGATTAGGGCAGCCATTTTAGATTCAGGGCTGCCCATATAAACAGGGCAGTTCTGATGCTGAGGGGTGAGGTAACAACATTGCCTGGTCAGAGGGCTGCTGGTGTCATCTGGAGGTAAGGGATAGGAGGTTCCTGGTCCTGGGTATGACCTAAAACTGCACCCTGCCGGGAGTGGATGGCCTGGTGGGGCTCTCAGTGGTGTGGGAGCCCCCAGGAAATGCCAGGCCAGTTACCACCCTGGTGAAAGGTGGGTCGGTGCCTTAACCCCTAGCCCCCACGACCGGGTGGGTGACCCCTTTGTTTGGAGGGCCCAGAGGGTGGACCCTTGGGGATTGAGAGTAAGGGCCATAGCCTCAGGCCTGTCTGGTACACCCATGCTGGGGCCAGGACCAGAAGGGTCGAAGGGCCAAGGGCCCACCACGAGGGATGCCTAAGAGCTGAGAGCCTGGGGTCCCAACTGGCCTGGAGGTGGGCCACAGCTAGATGAACTGAAGGTCTTGGTGGTGGGACCACACCCGAAGGAGAACCAGTTCAGGGAGCTATGCTGCCCAGTATGATGGCGGAAGAGGCCGCCTGAGGGAAGGAATCCAGGTGGGGTTCAATAGGAGGAATCTGGGGTCTGGTGTGGGGGCAGGTGATTAAAGGAACATTGTGATGCCATCTGTGAGGCTTGGGCTGTGCTGTAGGGGAGGAATGGAGCTGCAGATAGCGCCTTCTGGCATTGGGGCAGAAAATGGGCAGCCTCCCGCTTATTAACAACTCTATTAATCAATTAACATCAAGGTGTGGTGGGTGAGAACACGGGCCGTTGGCCCAGGAATAGGTGGGCAGGCCACAGCGAGATTGGCCCTGAGCAGGCCCCCTGTTACACTCCCCCACTCTCGGACTGCCAAGCCTGGGGTTGAAGTTTCACTGATAGGGATAGGGGTGATACAGGGAATACTTTGAACCAGGACTGTGTTTTGTTTTTTCTTGACTGTATGTCTTGTTCTGGTGTTTGCCTCCGTAGTAAATCAGGGATTTGTGCTCATAGTGCTTTTGAGGGAAGAATTATTGGCATTATTGGATACCCTAGTGATTCATTTAGTGCTTCCCAGGTGGTCTGGGTGGGGGCTCAAGTCCAAGTGAGATGTGTTTAGTACCCCAAAATTGCACCCGGCCCTTGTTGCTGCTGACAAGTGCTCAGCAGGAGGTTTCACTCTTGTTCCCTCCCCTTCATGCCTTCCTCTACAAATGGCTTCATTTGAAAGGTTTAAAATGGCTGTATCTCTTCCTGAGCAAAGACTATTATTTAACTGGCTCGTCATCAGGATTTAGAAATCCATCATTTTGCCTTCTCAAAGAGTGCACTTTTATGTAGACTATGTTACTGAGGATGTTCTTCTTTAAACTATAGCTTGAAAAGCATTACTGTACATCTCGCTACAGAGAGACAAACATGTGCACTTCAGGCAAATAGTGATGGACATGAAACTTCAACAGAGCAGCCAAAGAAACAGCCTGCCAAGCTAACAGAAGCTGCCTACAGCCAAGGTAAACTTATCTGCATTAGTACAAGTATGTTTGGTTAGCAAAGCTGCTGGTTTCTCTTCCATGCTCTGGTGCTCTATAGAAGGGAGCGATGCATGCTATGCAGCATGAAGTTATACCAGAGTCCAAAAGCTTCATCAGTAAAATGCTTTCTTGAAACTTTCTGCTGGGAAGATAAAGTAGGAATAGCTACAGTAATCTTAAACTCTCACCCTATTAAAAGCATGCCAAGCAAATGTTGGTTATCTACATGAGACTAAAGTGAGCACATCATTGACAAAAGTGCTTCTTTTCTTTTGAATTCCAGCCAGGGACAGCTAAAAATAAAAATCTCAAGCTAAACAAACTTCTTGCTGTTCCCAGACCATGATAATGTAAAGAAAACTATTTTTAATAGTGTGATGATGGCTCTCATGCTAGTAGTTCAGAGCCTGGAGGGGTACAGCAGCCAGTAGGAAAACCACGCCATCCTGCCTGAACTCTTGGCTGGAGGATTAACTAGGTAAATAATCCTGCATAGAAAAGGCTAGCCCTTGAAATAATAGGTTTGTTACAAGGTTGAGAGTTACTTGAATTAAAATCCGACCTTCCACTTTTTACAGTCAAGACACGTTCTACAATGACCATTTCACAAGGTGGTAAACTAAAGGTGTCACCAGCCCAGAGTGTAGAGTCTGACACTTAGGGATTAAGGTATGAATCTGTCCCATGAAATGAGGAACCAAGTTCTCTAATTGGAAGCTGTTTGAGAGTCTCAAAGCTCTAAACTGGTCTCCACCAGGAAACCAACACTCCCACTCTCCTGGTGTTGATTTTAGAAGTTGAAGGGTCAGTCCTCAGAGTCCTTAATGAAACATGCTTTTAAGGCCACATGCAGTATTAAAGGGACAGTACAGAGACCAATACTTGGCAGTCCTATGTTAGCAGCACTCTTTGGGGCATGGTGGCTGACTCCAGATGCAGTTCCCTTTGCATGTAATGCAAAATGCATGACTTCTCAGGATTCTTGAGAAGGAAGAAGAGGCCAGGGTGAAGGCGTGATTCTTATAGAGGTATAAAAGGGGTAAATGAAAGCAGAGACATACATTGGCAGGAGGAGGATCCTGTTGTGTTTAAGGCTCTGGGCTGAGACCCTGAAGAACTGAGTTCATTTCCTACAACTGCTGCCAATTTCTTTTGTGATCTTGGGCGGCGCATCTGCTCCTTTGTCTTCTCATTTTACAGATGGTGAATGGAGCTAGTATTTCCACTCCTCCAACAGCACTGTCTGATTTGGTTGTAAACTCTTCAGGGCAGCAGTGGCCTCATGTTCTCTTACTCAGAAGGCAGGGTAGAGGTGCATCTTAAAACTAACTGAATCAGAGATTTGTGAGCAAGAGCTCACTTTGTCAGATGGTACAAATGGACATACAGAAAGCAGACCATAAACTAGGTATGATTTAAATATAAAAGACAAGTAAGTGGGGCAGAAGGGAATGAAAGTAAAAGAGAGGGTAGTGCTTTTGCCCAGGAAACTGATACAGTTAATCTGTAAAGTGAGCCTCTACCTTGCCTTCTTCCTGGCTTCAGACTAACCTGACTGTCTCTCTCTGTCCTTACACACAATGCCTAAAAATAACTGGGGCCCAGTTTTGGTTGGGTCTCTGGAAGCTGTTCAGTAAAAAATGAAATGATAAATTTGGCGGCCAGAGCTTGCCCCTACTTGTTGTGTGCTTAGAAAAATGCTTGTCTGCCATGGATAAGCTGACCGCACTGAAGAATGAATAAGTTTGAGAAAAAGGTAAAGGACACGCAACAATATTTCTGACTGCTCTGTTCAGGAGTAACCTACCAGTTCAATTTGCTTGCTTGCCTGATTTCTAAAGCACTCTGGCATGCAATACATGCTTCTGAGTAGGAGAGATTGGTGCTCTTGCAGATGGTCTCAGCAGGGGTCAGAGATTTAAATGGCCCTAAAGATTGAAATGTTCAAATATTAAAAAGTCTGTCTCCAGGGGAGCAGAGGTGAGGATGCTTGCACAACTGCTGGCTGCTGTACCATACCTTTTCCATGGAAAGAGAGCCACAGTCATCAGCAGAACAGTTACAGCACTGAATTCACTTGAAATAGGTTGAATATAATAAAGAAGAGTAACTGCTCCTTTGCACAGAGTTATGATTCCCAACCTAAGCACGCAGGGTGAACTGTGAGGGTGTCTTATTCCTGCTTTGTGTGCCTGGCTGCCTGCAGCTGGATGTTGTCCACTTTAATTGTAGCAGAGCTTGTAAACTTCAGTGTTGGGGGGAAATGACTCTTCTATCTATTGCAACAGCTGTTTTATACAGTCTGGCTTTTTTTAAAGCTGCCGTAGGATATATTTATCTATCCCATATATTTAAAAAGCCCGTGTTTATACACTGGGATTAAAAAGATGTATATTTCTTAGTAGTGGCTTGTTTTTATCCTCTAACAATCCCTCACACCATTCAAAACTCTTTCGTGCTGATTATTTTTTTTCATTTGGCAAATGTTGAATTGGATTCCGTTGTGTGTACACATCGCACAAGTTGCTCCTCTTCTGTCCTCAGCTGTGCGCTTTCTAAATGGGTGACTTGCCTTCCTCAAAAACATGCTGAGCTTCTTGCCCAAGGCTGGACAGGTCAGTAAGAGGTTAGTGTCAAAGAATAAACTGTCACAACCTGTCCAATTCAATTAATGTGTGAATGCTCCAGCTGCATAGTTTTTCTTTTTTGTCTTTTTGGGGTTTTTTTTTTTGGGGGGGGGGGGGGGTTAAGGTTTTGTTCCATCATATATCTGGTCCAGCTGTCAGGGTTGGGCTGAATCATTTGGCTGTCAGGCCAGATTTGCCGAATCATACTGCCCTACCTGAAAGGCATGGTAAGCTGAGTAAGCAGACCCATCTGAAACATTGTCCTTCTTGCTTATAGTAGCTGGATTATTGGGGGTTTGTGTTCATGACATTAAACACTTTGTGAAATCCCATGCTTGCATCAGTGTGCTCCACAGGTGTTATTCCATGGACTAGGGCAGGGGTCAGCAACCTACATCCCACAGATGCATTTGATCTAGTCCACTGACATGGGACTTTGGCAGATTTGGGTGGTAGGGTCTTTGGCAGCAGTCATTTTCTTATGCTGTCATGGAGAGAAGTGCCAGCTGCAGGCAGGCCTTTTTCCTGTGCCACCACTGGGAAAAGTAGTGGCAGCAGCTAGGTCCTAGTGCTCACCCTTCCACCTGCCTCTTATGCAAACTGGGTCCATCCAGCCCTCAGCCTTAAAAGGTTGCTGATTGCTAGACTAGAGTCCTGGGGAAGGTTGGAGTGCCTGCCCATAGGAACTATACTAAATCCTGAAGCAGAGACAAAATTTGCCCTTGGGTTGTGTTCTCCCATCCAGTGGCCTGAATTTTTGCCTCCTGTCAAGTATCTTAAAACAATCAGTTCTGGCAGCACCTAGAAAAAAGGAGCAGCAGCACCCAGTACAAACAGATGACTTTCTAGAATATCATGAATAAATCTTGCTGGGTTTTTAGTTGTTGCCATGTTAGTCTAAGGACATATTAGGCAGGCAAGGTTGTTTGGGTAGATGTCCAATATATTTTATTGGACCAACTGAGTAGTTGAAAAAAGTTATTTGCAAGCTTTTGGGCACAATCACCCTTCTTCAGGCAAAGAAAGTCAGAACAGCAGAGAGTCCCTATGCCTGAAGAAGGATGACTGCGCCCAAAAGCTTGCTAAGATCTTTTTCCAGCTACTCAGTTGATCTAATAAAATACATCACATCTACCCAAAGAACTTTGCCTTCCTATGGATAAATCTTAATTGATAAGTTTTGTATGAAGTGCTTAACTGTCTAATCCTCTGCTTTTTTTTTTTTTTTATTGACAGTGTGTTCTTCTCTGCAGAATGTTCATTTGAAATGGGGCTAGAAGAGCCCAGGGGGGTTATCTTTTGGTGGCTCATCAAGCCACCAAAAAGCTTGAAGTGCTCCTGGGTGCTCAAAGTGTCCCCACAAGGCAAGCAAAGCTTGTAGTAAAGCACCTGTCAGAACTACAAAGCAGAGTTCCTTGGGATTTATGAAGAGAGCCAGAAAGGAAGAAAAGTGCTAGGTAACCCATACTCTGATGCCATACTATTCTCCAAATGTATTTATACTTGGAAGCCTCTAAAACTGGCCAGAAGCCAATCAAATAGCTTGGAAACATCGCGGTCTAATATTAAACAAAATATCTGAGGTCAGATTCCTTTCTGGATATAGAATTTGTTGGGTGCCACTGAAGTCTATATACTCCAGCAAAAAAGGGCCTTTGTGTGGTAAGGGAAGGCATATAGAAATGAGGTATAGATACTTGTAGAGATTAGATATTATGGTTTGTGACACCTAATTTGATGGAAAAATGTTCAAGCTTACATGCTTGATGAAGGATTGAAAAACATACCAATGATAACAAGTCTAGACAATGTTTTAGGAGGTTGACAACATTTGGTTTCTTTTGAAGGGTAAAGATATGTGGCGGGAACAGGAGAGATTCTTTGCTTTAGACATTAAGGAAGTGTTTTGTGCCTTACAACCTCCCAAACTGCCTTTCCTTGTTTCCTGGAGTTAAGGGGCATGTATAGATGAAACAGGGACCCTAAACTGAAGCAGTAGGTTTTTAAAAACGCCTCTTCAGTTTATGGCTGATTAAACCCCCCCATCTCGTGCACACACCTCGCTGACATACCTGCCTCTCCGGTGGTGGGGAAGGGAGGGCAAGCTGCCAGCGGATGAAGTGGTCCCTGGGCTGTAGGGGGGCTGGTGTTTCCCTCCGCAGCAGCAGGCATCCCCCGGGCAGCACCTGCCTGCAGGCACCAAGCTCGGGCTGTCCTGGGGGCACCGCAGCCATGGAGGGAAGCACTGGCCCCCCGTGCATTTAGCCTGCCTTTAATTATCACGCACACACGCCTCTTATTTCCTCTACACGTGGCCAAGTTTGGCAAATGAGTTGACAAATAAGGCAAGATTGTGCCTAGATCTAAAATGCACAGAATAGAGTTGGGAAGAGGAGATCAAAGAAAAAAAGGGTGTCAGCTCCAGTGTCCTTACTAGTGTCAAGAAAATCTCTGTGTTTCATGCCTTCACTATAGCTCAGGAGCACAGCATTTAGTACTATACATCCATATGTAAAATACAGCTACATGGCTTGTGGGTGGTGCCACGTGACTGGTGCAGGGGCAGATTGGGCTAATTCCCTGCTTGAGCGGTTTCCGCCCTAGTCGGAGAACTGCGAGGAGAACCCCGCAAGGGAGGACTCCACGACTATCAGGAGGAGGAGAACTTCGCGTCTCGTGAAGATCTCTAAGCGCTGCGGAGCCTATCGGACCCAGTGTATACCTTGAGAAGGCTATAGGGGTCTGATCAACCTCTGGCCTCTCCCCGTTGCCGAATGATCCCTCGACGTACCCCTTCCCTGCACGTAAGTTCCACAGAGCCTAGCAAACTTCGTGTGAGTGTATCCAGAGCTCTTTTCTCCGAGTTGTTTTCTTCAGTTGACACGACGGGCACGCGTGTTTAGAGCCTTCAACCGGATTGGGCTAGAGGTTCGTGTGGAAGGAACTCTTGTCCGCATTTCTTCTTTCCTGTCTGTAACTGCAACTCAAGCAAGTTTTCCTGCCTGCACCGTGTAAGTAAAATAATCTTTAATCAACTGCTAAGTGTGGAATCAGAAAAAATATGCGCCTTAAACTAACCTCGCCTCCCCCATTAGTTCCCATCCTGATTACAGCAAAGAAATAATGAAGTAATATTATAGCCGCTTTTCATGCTAATTTCACTATATGATCACGTGAGTTGTAAGCAACTGTTAAAAGTATATAAGCCTCCTGATTTTGCTCTTGGGGGGGGACCCCTTCCAAGTGCTTGGGAAATCCATGTCACTTTGGAGTCCCCCCTACAGCTGTAGTTTCTTTTAAATAAAAGCTTCTGCTGACCTGACCCAAAAGTATGCTGCGTGTGTTTCCACGACAAGGGACAGGAAGAGGCCAGCTCCTGCTTCTTCATGAACTATTAAGAGTTCAACTATTAGAAATTTCTGTTGGCAGTGGTCTTCCCAGCATGCCAGGTAGAGAATGAGCAGCACAGCAACAATAGCACTAATTTGAAGTGCTTTAGCAGTTATTTTTGGTGTCTTAAGTGCCAGAGAAGAAAGGAGACTTTTGTAGTTAGTAATGTAATACCCCACTGTGAGGTGCTAACTGCTGCCAGTGGCAATTTGTGGAACCCTTTGGGCACCAGCTAGACCCATCCTTTTGAGTTCCTTTGGTCTAATAAAGAATCTCAGGATCCCGGTACACGGATACCTCTGGTACCAGCACTCTGATAGAGCAGGTAACTATTTACAATATTTATTATTTACATTATATATAGATACATATGAATTTATATTCAGATATTTACATACACACATATATATTTATATTTGTATACATACACTGCCATCTATTTTAAGGTTTAATTTGTAACTCAGTTAACTTAGGGAATAGTACTAATAAACATAAATGCTTATAAATTTGTAACTTTGTAACAACATATAGGTGGGTGATCACACCCCTAGTAGAGTGACAGTAGGTCTATTCCCCAGGGCTGTTCAAAGCTTCGGTAGCCAATTCGATTCAGAAGAGATTTGGACCGATTTGGTGGCTGAATCTCCAAATCCGATAAAAGGTCCAAATTGAATCATAAGCCTCTGAATCAATTCCGAAAAGATTCGGTGCCGTTTTGCAGATTTGGCCATAGACTAAACAGGCAGCAGCCCTCACCTTGCTGGACACAGCTGCCTTCAGTTGGTAAGTCTGTTGTGGTGGGTGGAGAGGGGAGGGAAAGGGCGTGGGGGTGCAGATCAGTGCCCCCACAGCGAGGGATGGGGCATTGGGACAAACTGCCCAGCCGGGATGGGGGACTGTGGGACTTGGGGAGGGGGGCTCCTGCCACTGTGCACTGCCACGCACCACCAGTCTGGGAGGACATGGGAGCAGGCGTGTGCCCCTGGATCTGCACAGGGTGGGCTGGGCCAGGCTGCACTCTGGATGGTGGGTGGAAGGCAGTGGGAGTGGGGGCTATGCCCTCCTGCTGCTCGCCCAGCCTCCCCGCACCTCCTGGACAAGCCGTGGCTTTGCCCCAGCTGGGTGAGCAGCGGCAGGGCATTTCAGCACACGCGTAGCCCCCACTCCACTGCACTCTGCGGGGTGGGCAGAGCCACAGTTGCACTCTGGACTGTGGCTGGGTCTAGCCTCCTGGAGCGCAGCTCTGACTCTACCCAGCCCATGAAGGGCAGCCTGGTGGCGGGCAGCTGGTACTAACCTCCCAAAGCGCAGCCCAGCCCAGTCTGCCCTGCACAGATCCAGAGGCACACATCTGCTCCCATGCCCCCTCTAGCCTGGCTGCATGCAGTGCTGTGCAGTAGTGGGAGGCTCCCTCCCAGAGTCCTGTGCCCCCCAACCCCAACTGGCCAGCTTGTCCCAGCCTCAGCCCCAATCCCTCCCTCACTCTGGGGGTGCTGATCTGCCCCACCAAGTCCCTTCCTTCCCTCCTCCACCCACCATAACAGACTCAGCAGTTGGAGGCAGCTGTGTCCAGTGTGGTGAGGACTGCTGCCTGCTTAGTCCATGGCCGTATCTCTGAAGCAGCGTTGAATCTTCAAATCCGATTTGGCTGAATCAAGTCAGGACAGTGATTTGAATCACCGAACTGAATCACTGCCCCTCCAAATCGGCCAAATTAAAATCCAAAGTGAATACCTGCTGTTCACACAGGCCTACTACTCCCCATACAGTAAGACAAACTTATGTGTGTCCAAAACCTGAAACAAAACAAGGACATCCCCTCTTTGTGTAAAATGATACAGTCCCAGTAGGTCTGTCGTAGACATCCAGAATAAGAGTCTTTCAGTTAACTACTATAAACTTGATGTCACCTTAGTTCAAGCATGCATAATCAGTCAGGTGATGGTGCAGTGGGAGCTCCCTTGATGGCCCCGGGGCTCTACTCCTCATGCCAGATGGTGCCTTTGCTCGGCCTCCTGTAACACACAAACACCCTCCTCCCTACGACACCCCTTTCTGCCCCTCAGACAGGGCTTGTGGGTCTACTTTCCTGGTTGCTTACTCCCACAGCCCTCTTTGACACTCAGGGTTAGGGCTTCTATAGTGAGGCTCCCCCACCTGTTGCCTTCAGCTGCACTCTCACTAGCTGAGGGTGGTATCCCCACAGGGCCCCCACTTTAATCAGACCCAGGTCTCGCCTCTGGGTTCTGCTTGCTTCCTTCAGTCACACAACAGGTGGCTCAATACCTGCAACTTCCCACACTCACCACCATAGGCAATGCATAGGGGAAGCATTGTGGGGGGG